TAAGTATCATTTTATTATACAACAAAACAAAAAAATACGTGTCTAATATTTTTTTTCATTACCTAACTGACGGACTAATTACATTTTTAATTTTCATACCCTGTCGTCATCCTTATTACATTAAATTTCGTCAAATCCGACATTGTGTGTTTCTGACTAATATTTATAGAGATTAATGCGTTAAAACTGTTAACCTAAAAGATATGAGTCTTTAAATAACCTACTGACTGAATTTCAGTCGTCACCTTCAATGCATGTTTTCGTAAAACTGAGGTAAGTTCTTTGCCAAAGTTTGACCACCTCCTTTCAAACGCTGTAATATGGAGGAAAACGGGATACCAAAATCAAAAATCTATTTAGTCAATCAGTTAGGTAATAAAAAAACATTGAATACGTTTTTTTTTAATTTTTTCAAATAATAAAACAATACTTAAATAAATCGAACCAATGTTAAGGAGCTTACTATAAACGTACATAGAAGTGACGTTACAAGATATTTCAAATTAATATAATATATCGTCGAAGGTAGTTATTTGTGTCCGTAAGAAAATAAAAAATATATGTCTAATGTTTTAAAACAATCTGTCACCGTCTGATATTAAAATGAAAATCAGTCATCTACCCGACTGAAGACTGAAAAAATTAAAATGTAAATATTTATTCAATGATAGCTTCTGCAAGCGGCTTTGCCGGCGTTTCCAGTGGTCCGACAAACTTATATTTGCGTTTGGCACAGTTATCACGTCTCGAGATCGAGTTGCAGAATTAAATTTGTTTTTCAGTGTATATACTTTGTCGGGATAAAAAATACCCAGTGAAATGCCTAGTATACTAAAATATAATTGTACCAAGTTTTTATCGTAATTGGACTAGTAGTTTTTGCGTGATGCGTGAACATACAGACAAACAGATTCATAGATCATTTTCTTATCACATTTTTGGATTCGGTGTTTATCTAGTAACATCCTAGTATTTATTATTTTATTATATATTGTATAAATGTACAGAATTTACAGTCCTACAGTTTTACTATTATGTATAGATTTGAGATTCATACAAACATAACGTTACATGCAATTATTTATGAAATTGATGGTTTCCCGCAACCACTAATTATTATCCATAAGTAGGTTAGATGAGTGGTGCTGTAATGATGTCTATACAGAGAGTCAATTTACACAGTTAGTATGGTGGCAAACCAATTTTTATGACAAAAAAAATACAACAACAGAACAAAAGCAACATAACATCACGCATTTCATCCGCGGTGGGATAGGCAGAGGTTCACATCACGGCACTTAATGCCACTGTACAAATGTAACACTCATTTTTCACTATTTATGTTATGAGTCCCATGTAATAGGGGGTGAGCCTAACGCTATATACTGGGCCCGACAGACAAATAAATCTCATTAATAATCTGTTAACTTAACATAACATCACGCCTTTTATTCCCGAAGGGTTGTTTTTTAAGTGGAGAAAATCATCGAATGACTGCTCCCGCCTGGGTGAGGTAGGAGGGAGTGTCAGACTTTTACTGACTGAAGACCACCCCGTTCCTTCTCCTGCACGTCGAGCCGGAGCCCCGGTTACCCGTTAGGTTCTCCGCGACCGATAGGTTCTCCGCGACATTCCCGAAGGGGTAGGCAGAGGTGCACATTACGGCACTTAATGCCACTGTATAATGTAACACCCAATTTTCACTGTTTGTGTTTAACAGTAACTGTTTTATTTATATCACATTATTTAAGTTTCAATAAATTAGATTCATAAACACATTTTATTAAAAAAAAGTATTTTCCTAGTAAATAACGTAATAAATCTATCACCTTTCATTGTATTATTGCTGCGTAGACCATTGATATATTATGTTGTCTACAGGAATCCCCTCCGGGGAAATACAGGCTTAGCATTGTAGCGTATTTAGCCAAACACAACACATGCTCCTGTATGATTGACTGATTTTTCAATATGAATATCGAGTCTATAGGTACCTTCCTGGAAAGAAATGCTACTGTTTATTTGAAAATTGTATTCAATTTGCTGTTTTGTATTTTTAATACAATTCTGAAATCACATTAGCGAAACGACGTAACTGTGGAAAGAGAGTCAAAGAGTCAAGGCCACCGTCATGTCAAACACATAATATCCACTATTAAACATAGATGGCAATACACTTTTTTTTTAAGGGGGGGAAATCATCGAATGGCTGCTCCCGCCTGGGTGAGACGGAAAGGAGTGTCAGACTCTTACTGACTAAAACCACCCCGTTCCTTCTCCTGCACGTCGAGCCGGAGCCCCGGTTACCCGTTAGGTTCTCCGCGACAGGTGACAATACACTATGGACTATTCGTATTTAAAAAAAAGAATTACTCCCAATTTATTTTGTTAAATCTTTTTCCATCACAAACAACTTGAGCAACAGATCTAATCCAATTATAATCAAGGAAAAACATCAGAATTGTACAAAACAGACTAATTAATAGATTACTAAGAGCCGAGAGTAGGCTAGCGTGAACACTTTGCACGTAATCGGTCAGTGACGCGGGTATTGTAGCCGTTAGATTGTGTGAGCAGATATGAATAAGCATGACTTTATGTACAGATGAATGGTTTGAGCACAAATCTAGATATCACTGCAATGTTTCTAGATCAATGAGCTACTAAAGCTATTGGCAATGGTTATAAGTGTTATCTGCACGATTGGCGTTGTGGTTGAGTGGTCAACTGCTAGGTATGCAACATGTCACGGGTTTAAAAAAAAAATCTTAGTAGTAGCACGGATTCTGAAATTGTGCCCGGTATATGACAATAGGCTTACTTCCTATTACATGGGACTCATAACATAAATAGTGAAAAGTGGGTGTTTCATTGTTGTACAGTGGCATAATGTGCACTACTGCCTACCCTGTCGAGAATAAAAAGGCCTGATGTTATTACCCCTTTAGTATTTTTGTTTTAAAATGTAACTCAACGCAATGAAGGCTATTTAGCTAAGTACATAACGTTAGTAAATAATATCTATATATATAAAAGAAAGTCGTGTTAGTTACACCACTTATAACTCAAGAACGGCAGAATAGATTTGGCTGAAAATTGGTAGGGAGGTAGCTTAGAGCCAGGAGACCGACATAGAATACTTTTTAACCAAATTTTTTTTTTACTTTTTACCGAAAATCACGAACGGGGATGGGAAAAAATGGGATTACGCGTACGAAGTCGCGGGAAGAAGCTAGTTTATTATAAATGACCAATAAACCTTTTGAGGGAACAGCTGGCGTGACCATGATATGACAACTCGTGTTTTATCAAAGAAAATCAAATACAACCTCAAATTCAAGGAAACGTCGTAGAATAAAATTTAGATCTGTTATACCTCTAGAAACCGTGTACCTAATATCCACAGATTCTAAGAAACTAGCGAACACGATGAGAATGAATTTAATATTGTCAGAAGCTAGCAGACTATTTCCGAGAAAACCAGTCAATAATCAGGTACTCGGAAGCTGATATAGTGTTTGGTAGTGTTGGAGAAAATTATGAAATAAGGTTAGGTAGGTACAGATAAATACCTCTTTTAAAAGACACTAAAAAACTTACATGTAATACTTATGTAGACAATCTATAATTATTTTATAGTTTCCTTATGGCACTTTTTCTAGTATAGAGGCACTTTAAGTGTGGGAGAGCCATGCTTCGGCACGAATGGGCCGGCTCGACCGGCCTCACAGAAGACCGACGTGAAACATTGTTGTGTTGTGTTTTCCCTGAATTCCCAACAATCCGTAAATTCCTAATCCCAAAAGGCCGGTAACGCACTTGTAACGCCTCTGGTGTTCCAGGTGTCTATGGGCGACGCCGATTGCTTACCATCAGGTATTTTTATGGATTGTCAGTATGCATATATGAGCGCCATGTTAGACTATAAGGTTTTTTTTGTTTGTTTCATTTATTTTAGTAAAATTTGTAATTAGTATAATGCGTCAAGCGTGGCTTTGCATTGTTCTCACATATACGTACAGTATTGGAATATGAATGGAGTTTCTTGCTCGTTCTTCTCCTTTCGAATCTACATTTTGGAATGAGCACTTAGTTTCATCTAGCTTCACTGACGGACTGACTGACAGACTATTATTTATTTTGTATTTGTTCAAGTTTAAAAAGTAATGAAATAAATGCTTTAACTTTGACTTTATAACCTGAGCTCATAACTTATTTTTAAATATTTTGAATAAGCGAATAAAATAAGTAAACAAAACTTCAAAACATTGTATTATGGATGTCAAAACTAGAAACCTAATTAAAAAAAGTAGGCCGGTAAAGAAAAAAATACTCGGTGCTGTTTTTTACTTTATTTTTCATTTCTATAAAAATCTGTCAAACATCCTATACTCCTTTGATAAGGGTAAGATGATAATAATATTATTACGTAAAACCTTATTTTGATCTGAAACCCTTTGAACGCTGGAATAATCACAGGTTTTAGTGTACCAACATTTTAAATCTAATCTAAGATTTGAATTTATTTTTGTTTTACCTAAACATAAAATGTGATTCTCAGATATGTTTTTATGGCATATGCCGTAAACGAGCAGACGGTTCACCTGATGGTAAGCAATCGGCGTCGCCCATGGACAACTGGAACACCAAAAGCGTTACAAGTGCGTCACCGGCCTTTTGGGGATTAGAAGTTTGTGGATTGTTGGGGATTCGGGGATTGGAGAGATTGGGGAAGGGGGAGGGAGCTGGGCCTCCGGTAACCTCACTCACACGACGAAACACAACGTAAGCGTTGCTTCACGTCGGTTTTCTGTGAGGCCGTGGTATCACTCCGGTCGAACCGGAAATTTAAATGTGCTAATAAACACAAAATAAAAATAACTATGTTATTTTACCTCTAAAGTTAAATAACTTTAAAGTCTATTTTCAAACATGTGCAATTTTTGCGACGCCTAGTGTATGTTTCAATGTTGTAAAATATATTTTCTTTTTCATTACAGTGTACGGAGCAGCACAGAGAATGTACAATCAATAACACAATCAACGATCACGCTTGACAGAAAAGAAGATGACAAGGATGACGAATATAATCCCCTTGAGCATAGGGATGTCGTTCATCCTACTTCGTAAGTATTTTTAAAAAGAAAAGGAACACATTTGTTAATTCTATTGAAATTTGAAATACATATTGCTATTTGGGTTAAATGGAAAATACTGGTTATAAATCTTGTAAGAAAAATTGCTTATTAGTATTACATCTTTCGATTTATACTATACTAGCTGTGCCCGCGACTTCGTTCGCGTAGAATAGTGACTTACTGCGCTTACCCTGTAGGTGATAGCGTGATATGTAGCTTATATGTCGACCCAACCTGTTAGTAATAATCATACAAAATTTGAAGTAAATCCAGTGCAGTACTTTTTGAGATCATCCCGGACATACATACAGACAAACAGACAAAAAATCTAAAAATCATATTTTTGGCTTCAGTATCGACTGTAGATCACAACCCAAGTATTATTTAAAAAAATATTGAACGTACAGTTTTGACTTTTCTACGTTTTTATTATATGTAAAGATATGGATAATAGCATATGTACCTATATGTTTTGTAAAATTAGGATTAAGGGCCAACTTTACAATGCTCAGTTAAATTTTAACTGAGGAATAATTTTGAATATCTGACAATTCTTCCATACTAAAAACTGTCAACTGTCAATTTTATACTACAGTTAAGAATTTACTGATGATTGAAAAATCGGCCCTAAGTCTTTTGCGTAATCTCTATTACCTACAATTGTAAAATCAAACAAAAATTGGCATACAGGTCACTTTTATTCAAGTTTGTTCTGTCTCAGAGACAGGTATAAAATAATTTACGTAAAGTAAAATTTGTGTTGGAAACCATTTAATAAATTAGTGTTAAAAATTTAATGAAAATATCTTTTAACTATATATATATTTTTTTTTATTTTATATTTATATTATATTTATTTATTTATATTCGGACATCTCTTATGGATCGACAGTGTCGCAGTATCGGTGACGCAGTGTGTGTACAAAATTGTAAGAATTGTTAGAAAATGTTTGTGACCATTTTAATTATTCGCGTAAGTGGTGCATCGTGAATTTTTGAAAGCTGTTGTCTTGTTTCACATTAGTTTACTCTATTAAGTAAAAACGCGGGTTACTCACGTGAATATACTGAGAAAAGCTCTACTAGTTTCGAACCACAGAGGGGTTCTTCCTCATGAGCAGCGTGCGCGGTCGCGGCGACGTCGCCAGTGTTGCCAACCCCAGCATAGAGTAAAACTGTAGATTTGCTTGAAAAAAACTGTAGAAAACTGTAAATATAAAATTAAAAAACAGTAAATCTACAGTTTTATCTTATATTATATTTTGTATAATTGTATGAATGGAATACATTATATGGAGGGTATTAAAAATAAGAAAACTCGTATAATTATCAAAATTTTAAGCAAATTAAATGTCGTAACATTTCAAGTATTACTAGTTACTATGTTATTTTCAATTTCTAAGTCTTCCTGATTTTCCGTTTCATTTTTATTTTTATTGAATTCGTACATATTTTTATTGAATTTTTTAAAATGGTCATTTGTCACATTGAACTCGAAACAATTATTAATTTCTGACTTTGTGTGCAAGGTACCTTTTATTGTGGTCGTAGAAAGTTTATTTCTTAGTTTGGTTTTCATAACATTAATGCTCGAAAACAAACGTTCTACCGTAGCGGTACTGTGAGGCAAACATAGAAGCTTTCTGGTTAAAGTCGATAATAGTGGAAACATTGCAGAACCGTCGCCTTTTTTTAATTTGGAAACATTCCACCAAAATTCCTCTACATTAGGCGTATCAGTCTTATCAAAATTTAAATTGGCATTACGCAGATTTCTCCATTCTCTATCTAATTCTGTTATATTTTCTGGACAAATACCTGGGAAATAATACAACATCTCAGAAATTGAAGTTATACGTTTTTGGGTCAAATCATGACCTAAAATCGCTTGTGGGTTCAACATCTGTAAACACTTCAGTGCCAGACGTTCTTTATCATCGAAAGGAAACCTTTGTTTGATTTGGTTTACCTGAAGCTGACTTAGTGTACAGACAAATAAAATAGATGACGATAGCATCTTGCATAAAAACTGTAGAAAACTGTAGATTTCGAGGCTTAAACTAAAAACTGAGAGAATCTCCTAAAAACTGTAGATCTACAGTTAAAACTGTAGGGTTGGCATCACTGTACGTCGCGCAGCTCACTGGCTGGCGTCGGCGCTCGCCTCGGTGTTGCCACCTGCGCTGCGAGCCCAACGCGCCCTCTGACGGACACTACGAGCGTTTGCTTCCAACTCCGGCGGCGCGTTGGACGATGTTAAAGCGCACGGTACGTTCACCAGCGGCGCGGGTCGTGGGTTCGATTCCGGGTTCGGCACAAAGTCAGTGTTGCATATAACGCTTACTGTGTCACACTCCAGACTGGAGACGCTGTGGATCGACGAAGACTCCAAACTCGGCTTCCACGCGGGTGGCAGTGCCCAGCCACCATCCCTGTTGAAGCACGGACGTCGGCTAATCTCGATGGCCTCTCGCACTTTACGCGGAACGAAGTATTTTTCTCTCGCTAGTACGGAGACCTTATCAAAACGTATGAAGTGAGCCGCGTCCGTACCACAAATATGTTCAGCCACTGCCGATGCCTGGATGTCCATCTTCTTCACGCTGCGTATATGTTCCGTGCGTAATTCACGTGAGTAACCCGCGTTTTTACTTAATTTAGTATGTCTCACGATAGTTATTATAAAAACATAGTTTACTCTATTTGAAAAATGTACTTAAGTTTGTATCACTCTAGATCTAATATTAAAAGTAATCTGTGGAAAACATAGTGGGTAACATATTTGCCAAGTACAATATGTACTTAAGCTGAATTATGTTTATTTTGTAATATGTTATTGTTTGTTTTTCCTTAATAAATAAATAAGTAAATAAATTATATTATATTTATATTAAATATAAAAAATATAATAAGAAAAGGGATAGAAATCATGGATATTTAAATGCAGACGTTAGAAAAATTAAAAATGTCTATCACTTGCAGATAAAGTAAAAAGCAGCTATTGTATCCATAACAAATCCCTGGTCTGACTTTTGTACAAGTACCTAAAAATAAATAAATTGCATTTTGCAACGTCTTCTGAAAATCTATTCTATTCTTGAAAAATTTAACGTTTAAAACCACTTTTGTATTTCTGTTGAGCAAAAAAATAATTCATTTTTATTTTATCTATTTTTGATTTTAAGATTTTCGTTTTCATTGAACTTTGGTCGTTGCATTAGAAATATTTTCTTACACCAGGGATTCCATCGTACATCTGAGGTGCTTAGACATAAATCCTCAAATAAGAATTGCTGATTTGTATTTTTGTTTTGTCATCCAATGTCTTATTTTTATATTAAAACTTTCGTGAGACATTCTAAATTAATTATTATGTTTTCGGCTTACTCACGTAACTGTTTGAAGAGGAACTCGACTAGTTTCAAGCCATGGTAGAGGCTCATACTCATTATCTGCTTTAGATGCTACGGTAGCAGAGCGACAATCGCCGCGGCACGTACCGCGAAATGTCTTATTATGTTTGAAAACTACATATTGTTACTAATTAAAACTTTGATTATCCAATGAACTGAAAACTATTAAATAACTATTTGCTTACGTAGACATTTCTAACTGTAGAAGATATCTTAACACATTGGATGGTGTGTCGGACAATGATGTCCGACGCTAGCGGAGAATTGGCCTTTAACTCGTCGAGTACCATATTTATAGACACAATTATTAAAGAACAATAGGTTGCGGTCACCGGTGACCGCTTGGTGTTTGACAGTTTAACAGTTTTTATCAGCAGTAGGGCTTAAAGAATAGTAACCAAACAAGGATCTATTACCATTCTGGTTTAATTAAATGTCAATACAAATTGAAATACAACATAACATAACATCACGCCTTCTTATCCCCGAAGGGGTAGGTAGAGGTGCACATTTCGGCACTTAATGCCACTGTACAATGTAACCCACTTTTCACTATATGTTATGAGTCCCATGTAATTGGAGGTGAGCCTATTGCCATATACCGGGCACATTTCCAGACTTCGTGCTACTACTGAGATTTATAAAAACCCAGTAATACTTTGTCCAACCTGGGAATCGAACCCGAGACCTCTTGCCCGGCAGTCGCACTTGCGACCACTCGGCCAACGAGGCAGTATTTAAATACAAATTAATGTTTAACGAAATACATCTTTATTTACAGGACCTTGGGTGCATTTTTCCATCTACTCAAGTCGTCATTAGGATCAGGTTTGCTTGCTATGCCTGCTGCCTTCAAGAATACTGGACTGATACCTGGATGTATTGGCACAGTTCTGGTTGCAGTTATAGCAACACACTGCGTCCATATATTAGTAAGTTTTGTTTTAATCACTTTTAAAAAGAAGCTAAACATCGTTTGAGTATTTATCCAGTTTGTTTTTTTTGTTCAGCTGGAATTCCAGCCAAATAGTCAGTACCTATAATTGGGATGATGACAGGACATAAAAATTAAAAACCTAATTAGTCCGTAAGTTAGGTAATGAAAAAATATTAGACACGTATTTTTTTATTTTGTCGTATAATAAAACAATACCTAGATAAAACGAATCAAAGTTTAGGAGTAGGGGGGCTAAAACGTCATTTCTACGTATAAAATGTACATAGAAGTGACGTCATGTGACATTTCAAATCAATATATCGCCGAAAGTATTCGTTTCTGTAAGAAAATAAAAAATACGTGTCTAATGATTTTAAATAATCTACCAGACGGACATTAAAATTTAAATTAGGCATCTACCCTATTATAGGTACTGGCTATTTGGAATTGTTGCATTAGTTACAACAAAGTGTATACTGTCAAACACCGCGCGGTCAACGGTGACCGCAACCTATTGTTCTTTAATTGTGTCTATAATGACGGTACTCAAAAGGGGTATTGTATAGGTACACATTTCTATATTTTATTTTTACTCGACTGGATAAGAAGGAAGTGATACAGATTTATAAATATATTTATCTTCTTCGCTCAGGAAAGGATGGATGGTTAGAAAAACACACCGTATCTCGTCTTGCACGTGTGCACACCACCGTCCTTCCGGGAATCTAAATGATTCTGTGTTTTGTAAGATTCAAACTTTTGATACGTGACTTAATAAAAGAGTCTTTCAACTTACATTTCCTTTTCAATTGTTGTGTAAGTATCAATAGTTACGATTAAATAAAAAAAAATATTTAAATTATAAACTAGCTTTTAATAAATAAGTTTAAGTGTGGGAGAGCCATGCTTCGGCACGAATGGGCCGGCTCGACCGGAGTGATACCACGGCCTCACAGAAAACCGACGTGAAGCAACGCTTGCGTTGTGTTTCGTCCTGTGAGTGAGGTTACCGGCGGCCCAATTACCCTCCCCTTCCCCAATCCCCACAATTCCTGAATCTCCAACGATCCTCAAACTCCTAATCCCCAAAAGGCCGGTAACGCACTTTTAACGCCTCTAGTGTTCCAGGTGTCCATGGGCAACGCCAATTGCTTACTATCAGGTGATCCGTCTGCTCGTTTACCGACTTATGCCACAAAAAAGGGGCTACCCATTATCTATCTCTTTTCCAAATTTCACCCCGGTCCTTTCAGCCGTTTTGATGTGACTGAGTAACAAACATACAGACAATCTCACATATTTTCACACTGACAGAGATGGCACGATATTTAAGCACGACTTAAAATTGAGTAACGTTTCAGTAAATATTCCGGCATTAAGTCCTACTATTTATTTTTTTAATATTTTCAATGTACAGAACTTACACTTCTACAGTTTTCTTATACATGTACCTATAGACATAGATGAATTACGACTAGCCAACGCTGAAACAATGCTAGACGAGTGGGATATGTTTCAGTTTAGTACGATGTGTAAAACACAAAATCCCTACATAGTTACATAGTATAAAACAAAGTCGTTATCCGCCGTCTGTCTGTCCCTATTTATGTTTAGATCTTTAAAACTACGTAACGGATTTGATGAGGTTTTTTTTAAAGTGCATATAGCACCCGTGCGAAGCCGGAGCGGGTGGCTAGTAATTTATTTTTTTTTAATCAGTTTATTTTGGACGGGTTTTTATCCTAGCTATAGGACATGACAACCCCATTTAGGTAATTTAATAATTTAAAGTCCCTTTTCACAAAACACCAAAGGTTTATTGACTGAAGGATGGCAAATAAATATTACACAAATATTTTCTTCTGGCTTTATCATCTATATCAAACATGAAAGTTCACAATAAAATTGACAAACGTACCAATATAAAACAAGTATTAGAAAAATATCAGCTTCTGCTTATCGGCCTCTGTCTCACCTGGAGGCTTACTCTTGAATCCAATTCCGATCGATCGACATTGGTATTGTGAAATTTCGTACTCTCGAGTTGTAACACTAGCGCCCATTGCATCCGTATTGCGCGGATATTGAATGAACTAAATAGTATTGAGTCAAGCTTTATATTCCGTACTCTGAATGCTATTTTAACAGTTACGATAGGGTTTGTATAGTTTTGACATTGTATAATTATTGAGAATTTATTGGATTGAAATTGCATTGACATTGAGATTTGTTTCAAGAGTAAGCACCCAGATGTGAGTAGTAAGCGATGGTACGGCTCATGATGGAGCACGACTGCCCATAAGCAACATATTCTCTCAGGCCTAATATACTTTCGGGAAACATTGACTCTGGTAAACTTGAGGCGAAACGCTTCATACGAGTGTGTGGGCTGTCCACTGATTAAGGGGAATAAAATTATCTGTAACTAGCTTTTACCCGCGGCTTCGCTCGCGTCGCAAAAGAATAAAAAGTAGCCTATGTGACATATACCAATACACACAGCGCCATCTATACCAATACTTGGGAATATCACTCGGGACTTCTAACTTTACGTCTGCAAAAATTCAAAGCAATCGGTTGAGTAGTTACGGCGTGAAGGTGGAACAAACAAACAAACAAACAAACTCACTTTCAGATTTATAATAATAGTAAGGATTTACTCTAGTAAGTGAATTGAAGCAGAGCTATGATATAAGAAGTGCATAAGTTTATAAAACTAAACACTAACGCGAGACTCAATGAGAAATTGTTCCACAATGTGTATCGAGAATAAGAGACGTCGATATATTCGAAGGTGTCGTGTATGGCTTCACGAAGGTTGTTGTCTGGAAAGAAGTGTTGATATAAATATCATCAATAATTAAATATCATCAAAAATATTATCAATATTTCACATAATTTTGTACTAAAGTACAAAATTATGTGAAATAGTACTTACTTATCGCCGTACTTAGAATCATTTAATGGCTACTTAATGGCTGTATTATTATTATCTAGTTAATAGTCTAGCATGATTTTACATTAATCTAGTAATTAAAAAAACATATTGTAAGTTGAGTACATTCAAATAAATTATTCTTATTCTTATATTCTTATTACTAAGGAATAGTTTAGGTAATCATGAAATATCTCTTAGTATCGCTGTTTTATCATGAATTTCAGAAAAAAATAGTGGTTGACTCAAATGACGAAGAAACGCTAAGAGAGAATAGTTGAAGATCAAAACAGAAACTAATCTTGATTACGAATTCAAACTTGAAGTTCTGATTAAAACTAAAAGTATCTTCTCAATATGAATAGAATCCTAGATAGTAATTAATATTAAATTTCAAAGAGCAAAATTCAAATAAGTACCTTCATACATGAACAACTGGATAGCGAGTTGTTTCTTTACGTCATCTATATAGTTAGCAGCTATTTCCATCGTAATTAGGGGTATGAATAAACTAAACAAACTCAAAAATACTTCAAAAATCCACGGTGCTATGAATAACAGATCCTGTAACACAAATACATATTCGTTAATTAAACTATTAAGCTGATTCCCAGAATAAAACGTAGCGCCAAAGATTTTGTGAAAATCAATTATTATGGCTATGTGCCCCTCCAGTCGAGTTATATTTATCACTGGAAAATAACAAGAACGGTAAGTTTATAAATTTCCTTGAAAATTATAAACTCACTAGGAATATTATAAATTTCCTAGGAAAAATATAAACTTCTTAGGAAAAATATAAACTTTCGTAGGATTCTCAACGAGAGATAAATTGTATAATATTAATAATCGACCAATCAGAGAGCAACTGACAAATTTAACCTTTTCCAAGGAAAATATGCTTCTTTAAAAAATTGTTACCTGATTATGAACTAGCACATGATCCAACTAGTAAATAATTCTAAAATTATGTATATATAATCATCAACTGCTCTGTAGATCGTAATTGTACCCATAGCAAGGCTTAACCAAAATAAAAAGAGTAAAAATAAAACAAACTTACAACCCGAGTGCAAGAGTTGAAGTAGTACACAATGAATATGGACCTTATGAACTCGCTCACAAAGGCGATTGTAGTCTGCAACATAAAATAGGCTTCATCAATTATACAGTGACAATAGAATATTTCGATTCTACTCGTTAGAAAAGTTTTCTTTTTTTGTCCCCAACAACATATGCTGTGGTTCGCAGGCACTGAGAATTAGCAAAAATGTTATTGTTTTCTATGGATTAATTACTCGTCAAGTTAATACTGCAACCTGTAAAATAACACTAAGTACATGAAGTGATGCCGCGGTGGTCCGGAGGTTTAAAACCAACACAAAGTACTAATGCGACTTTTTCCGAGTTTTATACACCACTGACAAACGGTAAAGGAAGACATCGTGAGGAAACCCTGGGCTTATAATTTTTAATCATAAGTTTGAAATCGCCAACCCGCATTGAGCAAGCGTTGTGATGAATGCTCAAACCTTCTCCGTGTAAGGAGAGGCTTTTCTCAGCAGTGGGCATTTATAGTCGATTGATGATGATGATGATATGAAGTATGTATGTATTGATTTGATGAAAAATGATTTTTGATTCTAAATCATAAAACAAGTATACATACCTTTAGACGAATAATCGTGATAGTTGAAGAAATGTTATTTGATAATTTAACATAAGAATTCAAAAACAGCTTAATATGGTCAGTTTTCTCAGAGTCCTTCATATTATTTTTCCCAATTTGCTCTTTTAGAGACTTGCACAAAATTTTAACGGTGTTTTGATAACAATCCGACACGCACAGGAAAATGACCCGCCCACAGAAAAAGGCAAAGAAAAAAAATATACTCATAAAGAAATCCACACTTGTAAAGTTCTCAATATCTACCATAATAATGCTGCCACATTTACATAAGCACACAATGACAATCGTCAGAAAAACAATAAAACAATTTTGTTTGATGAAAGGAAATTCCAAAGTCAAACCTATTGAAAATTTCCTCAAAATTTTCTCT